AGCAAGATTCTGAAGCTTGGCCCAATGGGAGATTCCTCCATCCACACAGTTTAGCGTAGATGGAGGAATCTGTTGAACTTTTTTCATCTGATCATAGAAAATCTGCAGATAATCTATAGGTGTATGGCCAGTTTTATATTCAATCTTTAAACTCTGTTACATAGTAACTTTTTTTGTTTCTTAGCCTTTTTTGTGTTCAGTAGAAGCTCTGGAATTTGACAATTGAATTAAAGGGGCTTGACTTTAGACTTTTAGAGAAGTCAAACACTGTAGGTAGCTTGGCTTAGGATCGAAGGGGCTCCACTCCACAGGGACAAGGGGATCAATTTGAACTCTAATAAGATAAAGGAGAACTATGAGGTGAGTGAAAATCACTCATCCTCATAGTTCGAGCTGACTGTCACACGTTGGCTCAATAGATCGGGAAGTGAGCGAACACATACCATCGCTCGCTCACTTCTCGATCGTCTCCCTGCAGAGAGCCGTGACTGTCAGTCATGGCTCCCAGCAGGGATTTCCCACCCCCCTGCACCGATCCTTGAGCGCTGACTGGAGGAACGGATGGGGTGTTACCCTGCCTCTAGATAGGCAAAGCCTCTCGCAGCTGAGTGAATCTTGACAGTAATGTCGGGATCCGTCCTGGCTGTGGCGGTCTCAGTATGGCGTGAGCTGTAGCTCGCAGTATACTGAGCTTTGGGTGACGGGAGGACGCTAGTTTGTCCTCCTGTGACCCTGAGGAGAACTATGGGGAAAAACACTTACCCCATAGTTCTCTTTTAATTGTAATGTGAATGCTACATTGCTTTAAAGTATCTAAGGTAACTAGTCTGAGCAAGTACTGGTATTAAAGTCCAAATGTCTATTTTTGCAAAGTATTTGTTATGGGTTGTTAAAGACTGCAAACTCCATTATATGTGAGATGGTGCTTGCCTATAAATAGCATATGTGCTATAAAACTAAACAATTTGATCTTAGATCGTGGTAAATTAAGCCAGCTTGAGATCTGAAATCTATATGCAGTAGGTTTGTTTGAGATACGAATGCCTTGTAATACATATTGGAAATTTTTTTGGGCACTCAATATCTGTTGGTAGAATGTAAACTAAAATTAATGTAACGGTCCATTATGTGCGCCGCTGTGGGTAATACATATGCACTTAATGGTCTAGTCGAATTTATAGATCTAATTCTAGTCATAAAGAACTTGCGTTATATGAAGAAGTCATTGTAGTGGTTTTTTTTTTCTTTAGTTTTCTTTTCAAATAGTTTGGCAAAGTCAGTAGTTTCAGCTGTGTAAATGTATTAAAATCCTTGTCTCTACACTTGCAGGAAAAGAATTGCACACCATGGAAATAGTTGACTTTTTCAAGATATTTGAACAGGCAAACATTAGATCTTGATTCAAAAAGTGCCTACAGATAAAGGGGCATACGTGAACAAATAGCACACAAAAAACGCATTTTAATAGGCATGGTAAGATGTCATTGTAATAGTTTTTTTGAAAAAAACAAACGTAGGTGAACTAACCCTTTAAAGTAATTTCTAGCACTGATTCTCCACTGCATGTGCACAGTACTTCATTTCAGCACAGGACCTTGCCGAGCTTGTACACTGAATTGCGCATGTGTTGCTCAGTGCACACAAATGCTGGCTGGCAGGAAGTAAGCATTTATGACAGAGATAGGTAGAGTCAGGAAAGCATTCAGATCCTCTCATTGGCTAGAGTGAATTTCACTGCAGCTGTGAATTACCTTGCACTAAATTGATTCTGTTTTATAACACTACTGTCACTTTTAGGTGCTTTTCTTAACCACAAGACATTATTTTATGAGTATCATCTGTTCATGTGCAAGAACAAAGACTGCTTAAAACAATTAATATAGTTTTAAAATATTAACTATAAATATTGGGGAGGATAGCAGTTAGAGATGGGATGGTAAACATAATTTCTCCATATCAGCTTTATAAACCATGCCAGGTATTCGTTTGTGGGTGAGAGTCCAATAAATGTTCTAATTGTAATTTTGAGCACATATTGTTTTTTTACTCATAACCTTTCCCTGTAGCCATCAGTTCATGTGAATGAAATCTGCTCCTAAAATGATGCCAGTTTTCCTGTCTGTCTTTCATATTTGCGGGCTTGAACGGAAGCTTTAACTCGCTTGGGCACCATCTGTTTGAGAGACTGTCACATCTAAAGGAAGCAGGGACATCAAACAAGCTCGTCACTCACTGCTATTCTGATGCCCTCATTAAATAACCCAGAGACAATCATAAGCGTCTTTTCAAGTTAATGGCACCTCTGAGTCCCTTTCAAGTGAACACGACTTAATGTACATCAGACTTGGAGTGGTGCAGGTGCCATTTTAGGCCTTCATTTAATTTCGCCTGCATCGGTTGGCCTGGCAACAAATGGAATCATACAAGAGACTTCATGCACTAGATACAGATTTGGGACGCTTGTCAGTGTGGTGAAATAAGAATCTTGCCTTAATCAGATTACACAACCCTACGTCTTTTGGATTTTCAAGCCGGTGTTTGGGCACATAATGGGATGCTGGAATTAAACGATGGGAAGAAATAAGTAGTGAAGAGCCTTGGTTATTTCTAAAGCAATGTTCTTTCTTCACCAAATTGTCTCTGCTAAACACTTATTTTCTAATGCATGACTCACATCTGACCTACTAAACCAAAAACATTGTGTGTGTGTGAGAAGGAACTCGGCAGGTAGGTTGTTCCAAACATCTTGGAGAACTAACCACAGGCCTTCTGTGGATGTAGGCTGCCTCACATCCTTCTGCTTCTTCATGCAATCCCAGAAAGATTTGAATTTGAGATCAGGGCTCTGTGGGGGCCAAATCATCACTTCAAAGACTCCTTGTTGTTCTTTACGGTGAAAGTAGTTCTTGATGACATTTGGCTATATGTTTAGTGTCGTTGTCCTGCTGCAGAATAAATTTGGGGCCAGTCACATGCCTCCCTGATCTTCTGGCATGTTGGATAAGTATCTGCTTGTATTTCTCAGCATTGAGGACACCATTGATCCTGACCAAATTTCCAACTCCATTGGTAGAAATGCAGCCCCAGACTTGCAAGGAAGCTCCAACATGCTTCACTGTTGCTGGAAACACTCATTATTGTACAGCTCTCCAGGCCTTCTACGAACAAACTGCCTCCTGCTACAGCCAAATATTTCAAATTTTGACTCCTCCGTCCAGAGCACCTGCTGCCATTTTCTGCGCCCTTGCGGCCAAAAAGCCATATCTCTGACATGGAAACCAGGCTAAGTGACTCAACTATGTATGAAAACATAGGAACTGGGGTGCAATAGAGGTTTCAGGCTATTGGGCTCTGATAGAACCTAATTATGAGCAGAATAAGGCAGAACTAAAACATAATGGGCTTTCAGCTGCAATAATGTGTTCCTTTTTGTTCCATTTTATTTACTTCTTACTTTCAACTATTTTTGTAGTTCTTATCTGTTAGGGTTTTGTTTTCTTGTGTATTTTTTATGTACTTTAACCAGTTGACATCCGCGGTGTTAAACCCCCTTCCCATCCAGGCCATTTTTCAGTATTCAGCGCTGCGGTACTTTGACTGACATTTATTCCGTACGGTGGCCGCCGCGCGCGCGGACGCAAACGAGCACATATAGGCGATCGGCGGGCTATGGACCCGCTGATCGCCTATATGTGAAACACCCGGTACCGGGTGTTCGCATTGGACGGGTCTTTTCTGCCCGTGCGTGCCCGCTAGGGGGCGCGCGCGAGCAGAAAAAAAATGCCGTCTGGCGACGGCAACCCGCGAATGCGACAGTGCCGTCCGTCCGTTTTTCTACTACGGGCGGACGGCAACTGGTTAAGAACTAATTTCTTTGAACAAAATCATGAACTTAAAAGAGTTTCAGACAAAAGTAACAAAAATGATTAAAAGATCAAATAAAACCAGCATTTGCTGCAACATTCACCTTCATTCCAAAGATTTTCACATGGGACTTTTTTTCTGCCCCCAGGTGTCCTCATTCTTATGGCCAGTGTCATTTAACTCGCTTCCTCTGAGCCCAGGTTGTCCTGAACCTTTATCAGCCTATGACTGGACTTTAAAATAGCCACTGCTCCAAGCTCAATCCCGTGATAGACTACTATCACAATACAAATTCGCTAACTAAATGTGAGATGATGGTCCATCACAGGAGTGAGTTTGGAGCGGTGTCTACTTTGAAACACACACAGGAATCATGGGGAACAAGAGTAGCCACCCTCCAGAAGGAAGGACAGTGTCAGCACCAATTTAGAGATGACTTGAGGATCTACAGCCGAGTGATACACAAATAAGAAACTTTTGTTAATAGATAAGGTACTTTAATGCATTTTTAAGATTTAACTCCGGAGTTTAGTGTGAGTTTAAAACCCACTTTTGTCTGTCCAAATGTCCTTTATATTTTCATTGTGCACTATTAAGATTCTTACAAATAATATCCATGGATGTTTGCGTTACGTGCCAAACTTGAGGCTTTGACATTCATGAGGCTGCTTTAGCATTGAAAGACCTGGTACCATTTAACAGTTTCCCAGTTGCAAGGAAAGTAGAATCCATATAGACTCATAATTTAACTGATATTTAGTGCCACCGAAAATTGGTGGTCCTCTGTGTTCATGGGATTGGTGCCATTTGATTAAGTATGCGTTTGGTACATTGGATGCTTGGAAGCACTTGTCTCATTTAAAAGTCCTCAAATAAATGTAGGAAGTGTACCTCGGAAAATATGTATATGTCAGTTTATTTACACAATGCAAACTATTATTGTTAGAATTACCATTTATAAACAATGCCTCTCTAATATCTCTAATCTGTATATCTGTTCCTAAACTTTAATTGGAGTTAATTTCAACACTTTTGTAATGCTGTAAATTGGTTTGATAATGTTCTATATCTGTCTTCATTGTCGGAGTAAATCCGTTTACATCATTGTCCTGGATTCACCTTAACTGAACTCTCAGATATGTTGTCACAGAGTTAATGCAGAGTGACCTCCATAAGATCATCGTCTCTCCTCAGCCTCTCAGTTCAGATCATGTCAAAGTTTTTTTGTATCAGATTTTAAGAGGTAAGTTAACTTTTACCTTTTAATTTATTTTACCTGGTATGCTACGGTTTTAAAATCTCAATGTGCAGTGTAGTGCAGAAATGTTGTGAAGGAGTCTGTGTAGGCATTGAGCTTTTCTTAAAAGCACAACTTGAATAAAGTGGGAAAGTCATAAAACCCTGGTCAGGTTTTTTTTTATTGCAGTATATGTACCCATTAGAGAGCTTTTCTTGAAGGGACAATGTGATGACCAATCTCTCCACCTGGAACAAAGAGTAAACTGTGCCTAAAAGCGCTAGATCTATCTGGTTATTGCTGCCTGTGTCTTTTTATAATCTGGTGGCTATAGCTCCCGTAATTGTCCTGCTGTCAGAGGGTCAGGTGTGAGGTGAAATCTCCCTATTGTGATTATGGCTAAAAGTAAACATTTACAGGCATATTTCTTTTTTTTCGAAGTTCAATCCTGATTTAAGAAAAAATAAGTTTTTGGGCCTGAGTTGGGCTTCAAGTCCGTATTTTATACATGGTTTCGCTAAAGAGATTTTTTTGAGGAAGAGCTTGTTGTCACGAGGAGTTCTCTGAAACGCTGAATCAAAGTTGAGCACATCAACCCTCCCATAACCTGTCTTTGCTGTGGTAACAAGAAAATGGTACACTTACATAGAGTAGAATAAGCCTTAAAAGTTTTAGAACACACTCAAACTTTCATCATTTCA